AGATGGGGCCTTCTGGACCAACCTCCGTCTCTCCCTGCCCTCCAGCTTCTTGCCAGGGCCTGTGCTGGCCAAACGTAAGCCCAAGAACAAGAGAGCCCATGGATGCAGTATAAATACATTATATTCCTGGGGCACAGAGCAAGGTGGAGAGTGGATGTAGAAGGGCAAACAGAAGATATCCATAACAATTATCTCGAAAAATGGAAATATATGGGTAAGAGGGTGTATTCATTTCCTATTGCTGCTGTCACAAATTCAGTGGCTTAAGACAACAAGGATTTATTATGTTACAGTTTTGGAGGTTAAAAATCCAAGACTGGTTTCACTGGGCTAACGTCATGGTGTCAGCAGGTCTGCACTCCTTTCTGAAAGCTCTAGAAGAGAATCCATTTCCCTTTCTTTCCCAGCTTCTAGAGGCCGGCCACATTTCTTGGCTCTCAGCCCCTTCATCCGTCTTCAAAGCCAGCAATCACATCACTCCGACCCTCTGCTTCTGTCATCACATCTCCTCTGGCTCTCCTGCCTTCCTCTTCCTGCTTTTAAGAGCCCTTGTGATTCTGTTGGACCCACCCAGATAATCCAGGATAATCTCCCTATTTTAAGATCCTTGATTTAACCCACCTGGTCCCTTTTGCCATGTAAAGTAACACATTCCCAGGTCCTAGAGGATTCGTATTTGGACATCTGTAGGGCGGTCATTATTCTACCTATCACAGAGAGCCAGTAAGCCTTTTTGGCTGGAGTAGAGTAACTCCCTGGGAAAGTAATGAAGACAGAAAGCAGAAAGTGCAAACTGACGCCAAATTATGGGAGTTTTGGATGCTAGACTGTCTGAATTTCATTCTGTAGACAAGAGGGAGCCATCGGAAGTCCTTACCCAGAGAAGTGGCTTTTTAGCAGTGTAAAGAGAGATGACCTGATTGTGGTGTTCTAGTGGCTTACGGGGAAGAACAGAAACCTTTCAAGATGCCATTATGATAGTTTGGGCCCAAAGGACAAAGATGCAAAACAAGAGAGACAGGAAGAAGGGGTGGTGTGAAAAGTTCTGTGCAGGGCGCCTGGGTGGCTCAGTCGGTTAAGCGACTGCCTTCAGCTCAGGTCATGATCCCAGCGTCCTGGGATCGAGTCCCGCATTGGGCTCCCTGCTCAGCGGGGAGTCTGCTTCTCTCTCTCTGTGTGTCAAATAAATAAATAAAATCTTGAAAAAATGAAAACAAAAACAAACAAAAAGTTCTGTGCAGTCAATCTACAGGAGATGCTAACCAAGTGGCCATGGAAAGAAGAGGGAGAATTGAAGGGTGGTCCAAGTTTTTAAAGTGTATGACTGGTAGGTTAATGGTATGATCTAGAAAATCAGGAGAGCAAGTCAGTTTCATAGAAAGATGTGAAATTAGGAGTACAGTTGTAGAATCCTGGACTAGAAATACAAACAGAATCTTACCAGGTCTAAGATATCACCAATTTAAAACACATCAACGTTTTATGTACCACTAAGGAAAAAAATGCTACCAGCTAAAATATGATGCTTGCTTCCTTAAAAATATAATTTTCACTTTATTGAAAGAACAGTTTTAGACTTACATGTAGACTTTTTTGAAATCTTTTAACATACATACAAAAATTGCATATATTTAAAGTGTACAGTTTGCTAAATTTTAACATAAGCACGCACCTGTGAAACCACCACATCAAGGTAGTGAATAAACATATATATAACTCAGAATTTTCCTTATGTCCCTTCATGATCCCTTCCTCTGCCCCTCCCTACCTCTCTCTCTTCCATCCCCAAGCAACTACAAATTTGCTTTCTGTCATATAAATTACAGTCTCTAGCATTTGAGATAAATGGAGTCATACCCTATGCATTCTTTTGGGTCTGGCTTCTTTCATTCGATATAATTATTTTGATGTGCATCCATGTTGTGTGTTTCAGTAGTTCATTCCTTTTTACTTCTGAATAGATTTCATAGTGTGGATATGCCATGATTTGTTTTTCCATTCACCCACCAATGATCATTCAGTTTATTTACAGTTTTTGGCTTTTTGAAATAAAGCTGCTATGAATAGATTTTTAAAATTATAGATCACCCTGGGCATGCAATTGAAATGAATTGATTAATATTCTTAAAAGTTCTTCACATTTCGAGTGTAACTTTTTGAATCACTTTGTTTATTAACATATAATGTACTATTTGTTTCAGGGGTTCAGGTCTGTGATTCTACAGTCTTACACAATTCACAGTGTTCACCATAGCACACACCCTCCCCAATGTCCATCACGCAGCCACCCCATCCCTCCCACCCCCCTCCACTCCAGCAACCCTCAGTTTGTTTCCTGAGATTAAGAGTCTCATGGTTTGTCTCCCTCTCTGGTTTCGTCTTGTTTCATTTTCCCCTTGTTTCTCAAATTCCTCATATCAGCGAGATCATATGATACTTGTCTTTTCTCTGATTGACTTATTTCTCTTAGCATAATACCCTCTAGTTCCATCCATGTCATTGCAAATGGCAAGATTTCATTTTGTGATGGCTGCATAATATTCCATTGTATATATACCTTTGATTCACAATCATGAATGTCTGTTTTTTTCCACCCAGTATCTCCTCTGTGCCATCAAGAGTGGTAATTTTTTAAAAAACCTGTAAAAGAACTATAAGCCATTACTGCTGGGCACTTAAGCCCACTCTGTAATTATGTGGAACTAACTTAACCTGCATCTTCCTTTGAGAGTGTCGCTAAACATGCCTGAGTTGCCACCTGTCTCACTCCCCATTAGGTTTTAAAAGTCCACTATTTTTACAAATCCCTGGGATTTTTTTTTCTCCCAAATCCCTGACACCCATTCTTCTAGTTTTGAAGCTGGTTCTTTTGATTTTATGCATTCATAGGCAATGTCAAGTACATCTTGACTGCCGCTGGGCCCATAGTAATCGTAGGATCATCAATTATAAAACACATCTGCATTTCAAAATGTTAAATGTGGGAAACTGTGTAACTTCAAGTCCATTAAGAAGGATGGTTCAGGGCGCCTGGGTGGCTCAGTCGGTTAAGCGACTGCCTTTGGCTCAGGTCATGATCCTGGAGTCCCTGGATCGAGTCCCGCATCGGGCTCCCTGCTCAGCAGGGAGTCTGCTTCTGACCCTCCTCCCTCTCATGCTCTCTGTCTCTCATTCTCTCTCTCGCAAATAAATAAAAAAATTAAAAAAAAAAAAAAGGATGGTTCAACCAGTTCATTTGATGGTTAAGGGCTTGGCAGATTTAGTTCTGTGCCCAGTGTCACATAATTAGTGGTAGCTGGGGCCAAAACAAAATTTCTATGATCTAATTGGTCTCTGACTTTAGTGGGATGGTTTTTGGGGGAGGGTTCTGTTTATTTATTAATTTTACTGTACTATAGCAATGAAAGCTTAAAAGAAGGCTGGCCAATGGAAAAAAGTCACGTTTTACATAGAAAAGACACCCAAACAGAAAACCACAAACTTGAATGTGGTGAACTAGTAAGAGAGAGAAAAAACATTCCAGTAACCCTTCAGCGGCTCACCTTCAACTGGTTTCTTCCTATGCCAACCCATTCTTCATTCTTACCTTTTGAATTACTTTATGGAAAAAATGGGCTTCTCAGATGATTCCTCTGGTTTTAAACATTTGTGGCAGCTCCCCATGTCCAACAGAATAGAGCCCAGGGTCCTTGGCAGGGCTTATAGGGAAGGCCCTTCACACATGTCCCTTTCTGGTCTTTAGCTCTTTCCTCTCTCTGTAGCACACCAACCGTTCAATAAATTCAATAAAATCCCATCGTCCACCTTCTTATCTTTGTGCCTTTGTTTATGCTGTTCCTTTTCTCTGGAATAACCCTTCCCCACCCTCGTCCGCCTATGGTCTCTTCCTTCAAGGCTCAAAGGCAACCTCTTTTTCACAGTTTCCCTTCAATCCCCCCACCTTTACCCAATGATTACTTCCTCATGTGTTTTTAAACCTATTTTATACTTCTGTTCTAACACTTATCAAGTATTTGTGTGTCTCACTGAGCTGTGATCTTCTTGAAGAAGAGGTCACATCTTGTTTATCTTTAGATTTCTGCTTTCTAGATGTGTGCCTGGCAAATAGTAGGTATACAGCAAATTTAATTGCCTTGAAAGATCTGATTGAGTTTAATACCGCCTAGGGAGAAACACAATCAGCTAAGTACCTTGCTATTTCCTAAATGCAATATTATCTTTCTAGAGGAGAGATGGAAAATCCTCTGCAAGAAAGATGGGATTGAGTAAGAATGACATTCTGGGTGGAAGTTTAGCAGTGAGGGGGTATAAAAGAAGGGGTTGAAAGGAGAATGGACTAGAGGTTTAACGAACTAGGGAGCGTGACTAAGGACACAAAAGAAATGGGAATAGAGAGAGCAGGAGATGAGGGAAGAAAAAAAGAGAATAGAAGCGTGGAGAGAGTATGTAGTCAGGATTTTAGAATCTTACTGAGATTAATTGCAGGGAGTCACTGCACAATGCTTTCTCACATGGACGTTCCAAACTCTCTTTCCTGAATGAACCCCATTTTGTATTCTTCACATCACTCTCTCCCTGAAAAGACACAAGTGTGCTTCTTACGACTGCCTTACAATTTGTTCATTGTTTTCCACTGTTTTCTATGGAAAGCTGGAGGAGGCAGAGTAGTGTGGGGGAAAGGCACCCACCACGCTGGGAATCAGGAGGCCTGGCACGTCCCAGCTCTGGAGCCTTGAGCAAGCAACTTAGCCACCTTCACCTCAGAGTCTTTATCTGTCAAGTGGATATTAGTATCTGTCCAGGCTTCCTTTCTGGGTTGTTTGTAAAGATCTAAATTAGTGGAAGAAGCTGTGAGGTTGCTCTGCAAATGGAAGTGATATTACTGATTCGTGGAATTATTCGTCCAATAAAGACTCCATGGGCAGATGGCACAGCCCTTGTCTCCTGTGAATAAGTCCTGTTTGCAGAATAAGATAACAGTGTTTCTTTCTTATTGGTAGTATTCTGAAGTCTCAGGAAGCTGCCCTGTTTAAATGTTCGTGACCCATGAGAAGGGCATATAAGAAGCCATGGCGCTCCCCTTTCAAAAAGAGCTGGAGAAATACAAGAACATTGATGAGGATGAGCTTCTTGGCAAACTCTCAGAAGAGGAACTGAAACAGTTGGAAAATGTTCTTGATGACCTAGATCCCAAGGTTGGTGACCTGGGACTGAAACATGGTGGTCAATGGTAGTAGGGGATAAATGGTGTGGCTTGGTCCTTAAACAATAGTGTAGAAATCCCTTGCCTCCAAATACAAATTCTGCGTTCTTCCCCTGATTGGTTCCGGTCTGACAGATTCATAAAGAACCTCAGTAGCCATGTGTACAATATGATAGGACAAATGTATTTCTCAAAAACCAATTTAATGTAAATGGTAAAAAATATTTTCCATTGCTTGAGAAAGGGCTAGTCGGACTTAAGGAAGAAGAAAGGAAAGAGGAAAAGGGAACAAATTTTAACCAAATTTCTTCTGTGAGGCCATACACTCTACTGGGCATGGAAGCCCTTGGGGTAAATTATATTACACTCATTTCATAATTAAGGGGGACAGACGAAGAGAAGTAATTTACAGAGGATCCCATACTAGTAAACATCAGAGATGATATTTACACCAGGCCTTTAACCCCACAAACAGATCTTTTTTACACCTCATTTTTTTAAAAAAGCATGAATGACTTGAAGTTTTTGGTGATCTCACAACAATGGATGGATTTAAATTATAACAATAATATTATGTAAATTTAAGTGGAGATTCTACTATTTTTATGAGCTCTTGAAAAGCAAAGTAGTTTGTTACAGTGTTTGTTTAGCAAGCACTTTCTTTAGCGCTGATGGTGTTTTTTTAAAATTAGAATCAGAGGCATCCAAAATAGTGATTTTACTATAAAGAAAAATGTCACTAAAAATTATTTATATGATATTCTGATATGCCAGACACTTTGGATATTTTATTTATTTTTAAGAATATTTTTATCTTTGACGGACATTGGGGAGGGTATGTGTTGTAATGAACACTGGGTATTATATAAGACTGCCAAATCACAGACCTCCACCCCTGAAACAAATAATTAAATTAAAAATAAATAAAATAACCCAAAACACAGCCTTAAAAAAAATGTTTTTATTTTTGAACCTTAAGGAAGGAATCACTCAGCTTAGTCAAGCAGGTATCAGCATCTCCCCTAATATTTACTTATGTGCTGGGATGTTTTCCCAGGAAAGAGGCTAGAAATAAGAGAGTATAGCCATGTTGGCTCCTTGTTAGTCTCTGTATGCCTACCTGGAAGCACCTCAGGTACAGACCTGGCCAAACCCAAGTGTGATCTACGAGGAAGGAGGCCGTGAAGGGTGCCTGGCCTTTTGCTACCACATTCTAGAATGCAGCTGCAGAAGACTCAGAGGCGGCTCTAGCCAGCTGTGTGGGCCTGTGCGCATTAGCAGAAACATCTCAGCACAGAATGGGCCAGGGTAGGGCCTCAGAGATGCGCCAGAGTCCCCAGCCCTCAGTGCACACCTGCATCTCTGCACAGGTATCCTTCTCCCTGCCTCCCCCATAGACAGCTGGGCTGGGGCGGGGGGCCAAGTGACAGAGTATCAGTAGGGCAAACACCTTCCTTCCTGCTCACACCTCTGTCTCATCAGAGTGCACTGCTACCAGCTGGATTCCGACAGAAAGACCAGACCCAGAAAGCAGCCACTGGCCCGTTCGATCGCGAGCACCTCCTCATGTACCTGGAGAAGGAAGCTTTGGAACAGAAGGACAGGGAAGACTTTGTGCCCTTCACTGGAGAAAAGAAAGGTAAGGGCCCCAGGTGCCACATCCTGGGACAAAGGTACTCCTCATATCTTGTCATGGGGGGTCCAGCAAGGGAACTGACCTGGAAGTGGGAAAGAAGCCCAAGAACTGGATTCATAATTAAAAAGAATCATGGCTGGTAGAGACATGCCAGTATACTTTTGTCCAAACCTATAGAATGCGCACCACCAAGAGTGGACCCTAATATAAACTATGGACTTTGGATAATAATGATAGCAATGTAGGCTCATCAGTTGTAACAAACGTCCCACTCAGCTGCACAGTGTCATTGGGGGAGAGCTTGTAAGCGTGGGACAAGGAGTATATGGGAACTCTCTGTACTGTCCTCTACGAACCTAAAACTGCTCCCAAAAAATACAGTTTACTAGTTACAAAAAAAATTATGGCAGAATATGTAAGCTAATTAAATTAATACTTAGAGTGTAAAGGTACTCAAATTAGTTCTGTGAAAAATATCTTAAGCCCCAAAGAAAAAGCTTTGGCAGCATGAGGTAGTATTGTGCCCGAAAGAAGGTCCTATAGGCGTTGGTGCGTTTCTCTTAGCCCAGGGCTTTACTGACCGCAGGCATCCCCTCAAGGCCTTTTTGTTCCATGTCTAGGATAGCTGTGGCACCAGACCCCTAACCTAAGATGCTACCGTTAGAGAATGGTGCAGTCAACCATTCCCTCATCCAGCATTTACCAAGCACCCCCTTTGTGCACAGCTATGTGCCAGGTGTTGGCACCACAGTGAATAGGACCCTACCTTGCCCTCAAGGAGCTTGTGGTCTAGTGAGAGAAGCACTGTGATAGTCCTGGTGAGGCTCTGAGGAACAAAGGGATGTTCCTCCATGCCAGGACTGAGCTCAGAACCAAGACCAGGAAAACCCTCCTCCTTAGCTTCCAACCCTAGGCTCCCCTTTGGAGGAAAAGTGGGTACCAACAGCCTGTGTGGTTTCCTCAGCTACAGACAGGGACTTGGGCCCACAGACACTAATGGAATCATCCATAAGCTCATGGCAACTACAGTCTTTTTAAAATGCAGATCAGATCATGTCGCTTCCCTGCTAAAAGTCTCAAATCCTCACTGTGGTCCTCAGGGCCTTGGGAGAGCTCACCTTGCCCACCTCTCTGATCACCTCTCCCCTTCCCTTGCCGAGCCTCGGCCCCACCGTCTGCATTCAGTTCCCCAAACCTGCCGAGTTCTTCTCCCATCCCAGGGTCTTCTCATGATCTCTCCCCTCCGACCCACATCCCCATTTTTCACATTCTAAAAGTCCCAGCTGAAACATCAGGGCCTCGGGCTTTCCCTGACCCTTCTGTCTAAAATAGACCCGTTCTCTCTGCCGTGACACTCATGTATTGCCTTCATAGCACTGTGTTCATCATTTTGTTTATTTACTTTGGGTTTTGTGTGTTTTGTGTGTTTCCCACCTGTGCGCGCTGGCACAGGGGAGCACTTTGATAAATACAGTTTGGATGAATGCTGTTTGGGAGCTTCTGTACAGGGTCCTGGGGCAGCAGGAGCACCCCTCCTCAGGTGGCGTCAGAGCACTGCTGTCTTCTGTTACGCGACATCTGGCTGTCCTCTGAATCATGCTCATTTGATGGATCGTGCACCACTGATTGTGTCAATTTATTAAGAAAGTGAAGTTGGACAGTGACAAATTGGGCAAATAACTAAGAATTGCCATAGAAATACGGAGCTGTTTCTATGGCAGCCTGGCTGCTATTAGACTAAGTTCATTGTGCAAGAAAAATTATAATGTCAAATCTTCAATAAAATCCCAGTTAACATCCAATATTAGGGTAGTGCCAGAATAACAAGCGAAAAGCTGTTGTTTCTTCTTCTCAAAGTAGAGGTCTGAGGAGTAGCAATGGTAAATTATCTCTCGATCCATATTCATCTGCAGATGATTCACAGGGGAGTTAGGAATGCAGGGGCAGCCTGGGTCGTAAATGGGGAGACAAAAGGGGCACACCGTTGCCCAGTGTAGCTTAGGAGAAGGTTGGAAGGCAACACAGTTGGGCAAAATGAGCAGAGAGCAAGTTTTCCAAACAGAGCAGAGGGAACAGAGTAGAGTCTGCAGGGCCCCTGGAAGCACCAGCGGATGATCTGGAAGCACCAGTGGATGATCTGGAAGCCTTGGAGGCTGCCGTAAAGGCCTCAGGCGAGGGGCTGTACAACTTCAGCTCTGAATGCCCTGGGCCCTGGGCCCTCGGGTTCCTGGGCCATGTTTCACTCTCTGCAGTAGTTTTATCCACTTAGAACTTGTTGTTTGGTTACCCACCCCACCACCACCAGGAATGGATGTGCAGCAGCAGTTGTCCTAAAGTTCGGCAGCTATGGGCCACCTGTGCACGTGGTATTGAGGGTAATCCTAGGCATTAGCAGGAAGGAGGAAAGGGGAAGCCTCTTTGACTCTGGAACCAAGATCATCTGAGCCACAAAGAAAAGGCTTCAGGCTGCAGATACTGTGAAAAATAAGTCTGGGATGAACCCTAGTGTCTGAGATGTTATTGATTGGTTATTTTCTTTTTTCATTTTCTATCTTCTGGCCATTCTCCTTGTATTTTTCATTATGCTCCAGTGTATTTTGCTTCTTTCTGGGAAAGGTGGCAGTTTATGTGATGCAGAGGCAGGAAGCAGGGTGATGGTGAGTGATGGAGACCTTGTGGCCAGGATACCCCAGACTGACTACAAGCAGTGCTGTCTCCCTAGGGTGCCCAGCACTGCCTGGTCCCTGATTTCATGTCCAACCATTTGAAGATCTGGTAAACTATCAGAAGCTATCCCACAGCCCTTGCAACCAGGGACAGCTCTTGGAGAGGATTTATAAAGGAGAGTTACTGACTTTGGGTTTGACCCTTACCTTTCCAATGGGAGTGGGGAAGGGCTAGCTAGCCAGAGAGACCTGGAAACAGTGTTGGTCTCCATTGGCTGAAGTGGGAGCCAGCTCTCTGTTCTACCCAAGATGACAAAGAGAAGGCGGTGGAAGGGTGAGTCTTTAGGGAACTCCAAAGATCAAATTGGAGGAGACCAATTTCAAAGATCATGCCAAGAAGTAAGAGCAGCTCCAGAAAAGAAACCAAGAGTCAAAAGCTGGAAGGAATTGAAAAAGAGTGTAAGTAGGTCTGGAGTATTGCTGTGGGAGCTCTGGAATGTCCTAGGTTTCCCCTTATGAGTCATTGCATGAGTGGGATGTGGGTGCGTTGAGCTGACTGAAAGTTAGGAGCAGGTAATATGCCATCCTCCCAGCGATGTAATCTTCAGTCCAGAGGTTGGGGCTGAGAAGGGTAGGGCATAGATATCAGCATATTGAGAAGTGAGTCAGGGGCAAAACAAATGGAATCTGACTGTGAGGATGAAGCGGGAGTTGATCGCAGAGTATACACATGTGGGAAGCATAAAATACCTTGTTGCTCACAGACCTCCACAGTTTCTAAATACATGAATCCTGATTTCTCCTTTTACATCTGACGTCCTTTGGTATGTCTAGAGAGGTATCTGTGTCCCCAGGCCACTACACTACTCCAAGTGACCCCAGATAGAGCATCCTAGTGGTCTACAATCTCAATCTAGGGGGAAAAGCTCTGGGAGGGCTGTAGTTTGTCCCTCCGGAACCCCTGGGACTGCGTGGGTGACTCTGCCTCCAATATTTGCAGGATCCAAGGGAAGAACACCCACAGAAGCCTATGTGCCATTTTTTGTAAATATTTAGAAGCTAATAGCTGTTAAAATGTGTTCTCTCCTGTTACAAATACACCTAGAAACCCAGGATTCTTGGGCTTCCAAAAGTTCCATGCAAGCATATGGGGCTGTCCTATACTGCTAGGGCCTCACACATATTTGACACAAATAACCTCCCCGTGGCCTGGGGGTGCTCACTCCAGCAATGTGACATGCCTCCAGGAGGATGGACATGGGGAAGGGAGGTATGCAGGCCCTGGAAGCAAGTTCAGGGGTCTTTGAGCAGGGAATTCCAGGATCCCAGATGCCTGGAGCGGGGCCTAGCAGGTGGCCTGGATTCTGGGTGGGAATGTCCCTTTGGCCCCATGACTTCTCCCTTGATGTGGGGAGGAGGGAGACTGCAGGAGAGGAGGACCAGAGTGAGCCCTGTAAAACGTGGGGCCCATGGCAGGGCCTTTCTTGCTCAGGTCTAAGGGCAATGCTGACGATCGATGGTAGAGAGGTAGAAACCACCGTAGTCTCCTCAGATCTCTGTGTTGCAGAACGCAGGATTCCTCCTCCGACGTTCCCTCCCTCTCATAGTGGATTAATGACACCGCCATCGTCCCAGCAAGGAAGGAATCCCAGTTGGGTGTGCAATGGCTTAATGGCTTGGCTCTCAGTGGTCAGAGCTGCGTTGTCTGGTCAGTCCCCTTACCCTACCCTGGTGAGTAGCACACAATAGTTTTTGTTTTCCTTCTGATTTAAAGGGAGAGTCTTCATCCCCAAAGAAAAGCCCATAGAAACTCGTAAAGAAGAAAAAGTGACCCTTGACCCAGAACTGGAAGAAGCTTTGGCCAGCGCCTCCGACACCGAGCTCTATGATCTTGCAGGTTAGTCCTCAGCTCTCGGAAACTTTCCTGTGCGCCTCTGGCCCCCCAGGCACACACTGGCATGCCCAGCAGCAGCCTCTGAGCTTCAGTGACTACTGATCAGCATTGCAATACCAGGGTGACTTCAGCTATTATGTAGCCATAAGACTTGATGCAAGTGACTTCACCTCTCTGAGCAAATCTTACTTTGCTGTATCTCAGCTGTAAAATGTAAATTCCTATCTCGGCTATAAAATGCCCCAATAATACCCTTCCTACAAAATTCAAGAGTTTAAGAAGCCAAAGAGAAGGAATCTAAAGGAGTGCTGAGAACTTAAACAATGAAATGATAGCCCTTACTCTAAGGAGCTTTCACATTGGCATTTTATAACATTTTATCATCATAAAGTATCTGTGAAGTTTTTGCTCTTCCCCACAGTCGCTATTCCGTTTTGGTTGCCACGAAGAGGTCTGTTAGCCTAACCACAGAGCAGGAGTTATTAACCATTACACCCACAGAGTAATTAAAGCCATATTCAGCCCCATCTGCTCATCTTTTTCTAGTTTTCTAAACAGTAGCAACAAAATAATAATTGGTGTTATGATTTGAATTGGTTATACATGCAGATAGACAAAACACACATAGTATAAAAGAATGGGTAGTCAAGATGGCGGTAGGTTAGGGGTCAGCAAACTGCAACTTGCCTCCTGTGTTTGTAAATAAACTTTTATTGGAACATAGCAATGCCAACAAAAGAATATGTCATGAAAGTAATTCATCTCACCCTAATTAAGTCCTCTCCCATTTCTACTATATCCTTCAAGAAAGATTCCATGCATCTACCAGCATATTTGTGCATTCTTTTTTTTTTTTTAAAGATTTATTTATTTGACAGAGAGAGACACAGCGAGAGAGGGAACACAAGCAGGGGGTAGTGGGAGAGGGAGAAGCAGGCTTCCCGCTGAGCAGGGAGCCCGATGTGGGGCTCGATCCCAGGACCCTGGGATCATGACCTGAGCTGAAGGCAGACACTTAACTGAGCCACCCAGGTGCGCCGCATATTTGTGCATTAATGGGATGTGTTTTTTTCCAAGTGGGATGTAAATTTAGATGATTAGGGTTATTAGGTCACTACAGGATAAAGGTGCTTTAAAAAACAGCCCATATTTGGGTGCCTGGGTGGCGCAGTTGGTCAAGCGTCCGACTCCAGATTTCATCTCAGGCCCTGATCTCAAGGTCATGGGATCGAGCCCTGAGTCGGGCACTGTCCTCAGTGTGGAGTCTGCTTAAGATTCTCTCTCCATTTCCCTCTACCCTTCCCACTTGTGCTCTCTTTCTCTCAAAAAAATCAGAAACAGTCCATGAGCCTTAGCAAGAATCCTCACATCTTTATTCCACTGAAAAACATTTGTAATAATAATCCATCCTCCCTCCCAGGAGAACCAGCTATGCCTTATTCTAATAGCATGCCTACCGTCTCAGCTACATCTTTGTTCCTCCTGTGATGAGATCAGTGGTCAATACTAAGTTCACATATTTGAACCTCTCTCAGAAATCACTGCAGGAATTGAGGCACCTGCATCACACAGTTAAGAAGGTGCCTTGCAGTGACCTTTCTTCTTAGCCCTGCGGTTGCTGTGGAGGGATCCTGGTATGGTTACTGCTCCTCTCAAGGGTTGTCTCATGGTTTCTACTAGAATTGCCCAAAGGGAGAATGCAGGGCTGGGCTTGAATTCCCAGGAAATGCTTAAGAAAGGAGAAAGAGGAAAACACCAATCATCTGGAAGAATCTAGATTCTGAAATTCATACAATAAAACCAGGGGAATAATCTAGATGGAAAACTGTCTTGTTCATCTCTGCTTAATCTCATTCCCTCATCAGATGCTCCGTCAGAACTCAGGAGGAAGCCAGCCTGGGGGTGGGTGACAGCATCTTCTCTGGGGTGGTTCTTTCTGGAAGATCAGGAGCAGCCCCATGAGCGGATGGGCTGACAGCCAGTGAGGTTTAGATAGGAAAGATTGTCAATGCCCTGTGCATGTTATTCTGGCTGGTAGGCAGCAGAAAGACAGTCGTCAAGAGGACAGCTGCTGACCTCCAAGACAGCACTTCCTGGAGCAGCTAGATCTCAGCATGGTCACTAGTTCTGATGGTCTAGAAATTCAGTTTTGTCAGTGTGCATAGGAGACGTCTGTTTGGGCTAATCCACTAGCCAGATTCACAGGAAACAGATAAAACAAAGATTAAAACTTGGCAATGGGAGCCAAATTATAATTAGAAGTTGCTTAGTGAGTATGGGGCCAAAGCAAGATATGTTTGGATGATCCGTGGCCTGTGTTTATCAAATAGGGCGTCTTCTCCCTAGACAATGCCAGAAACATAGTGACAAATTCTTATTTATTTAACAGGAATCTGTAAAGTGCTTGGAACAGTGTCTGATGCATGAGAAGTCATTTAAGCTTTGTAACACTTAAAGTATAATTATTATCCCTACCTTACCGATGATGAAACATGCTCAGAGGCATTTAGTAACTTCCCAAGTCACAGAGGTAGTATGGGACAGAACCAGGATTCCAACTCTGGCCGACTGCTCCTGAGTGCCACTCTTAACCCTAGCCTTGTCGGCTGTAAGCATTTGCCCTTTATTGGGCTGCTGGCAGCCTCCCTGCTCCTGATGTGTAGATTACAGTACGACTGATGAGGAGCTCTGAGATACTCCACTGCCTCCTGCTGACAGATTACCTGCTCTGGGATCCTTCTCCAGGTGGCCAGTCTCATCCGTATAATTTCATTAGCAAAAGGGGCACTTGCCTTTCAGCCTGCCCAGAGCTCATGCTGACCCAGTGCCGTTTCTTGCATCCTTTGCTGCCTCCTGGTGTAAGCTCCCCATAATACAGGAGTTGCAAAATCTCAGTGTGCTTATCCCACCTTTTATTGCTGACATCTCTTATTTCCCATTCTAGGATGCTCTAAACTGGAGAGGACAACTGCTGTTGGTACTGAAAGATTGGGGCGGCTTTCATTGAAAGAGGCCCATGATCTTTCTTCCATTTGCTGTAATCTGTATAATGTTAGATCTTAAAGTATCCTTAGACTCAGTCCCATGCTCACATTTTACAGATGAGAAAACAGAAGAGTTGAGTCTATTTAACTAGGAGGTCTAAGCAGGTTTTCAGTAATTTGGAGGTATAACATAACTTGACCATTGTCCTGCAGATCCTAAATGATTCTACCTGTATAGCCACAGAAAGACCTGTGAAGATCGCTGGTGGCAATGGAAAAGGATTGGAAAGGGATTTTTTAAAAATATGTAAGCTTATTTAATACTACATGTGTCCCATACACTATGCAAGGCAAGGGGGTTCTGGAGACTTACTTTATGATACGAAGAATTGATCTTCAAGGGGAAAATTAACATTGCGGACATCTTAACATGCCTTCCCAAACTTATTATATATTTACTGATTATCTTTGTTTCTAGCTGTTCTTGGAGTACACAATTTACTCAACAATCCAAAGTTTGATGAAGAAATGGCCAGTACTAAAGGTGGCAAAGTGCCTGTGAGAAGTAAGTTGATGTGGAGTCTGTGGTTTGTGAAACTTGGGAGCTCCAGGTTGTTGTTGTTAAGAGGGAGGCCTGTTGACTGGGCTGCCAGTTGAATCCAGATTTCCATCTTGCAGACTTTGCAGGTGGATTCTGTCAGTTCACCAAGATCAGTCACTGGGCTCTGAGCAGTCAAACAAGAATAGGGAAGCCAATTATCAAAGTTCTGTTTTGCAGCGTATTGTACCAATTAGGTGTGTGTTGCCCAGAACATACTCTTTGGTAGGTCTGTTTAGTCAAAATATAAAATTGCTGATAAAAAGGTGACATAGTCCGCACAGATTGCAAACAGAGTTTCATGTTCCTAATGATGTTTTTTAATCAACTATAGTATTTTTGATAAGTTTCCTTCTCTATTTGGGTGTCTTTTTGTCTCAATAATGGATGCAGGTCATTAGAATTTGAATACCCACTTCCCCCACGAGAGCATGAAAGACACATTGGCATAGACTTACTGGCACAGAAAGTTCGAGACCACAGTTCTCTGTATTAGCATTTCCTGGAGAAGTGTACAGTTTATTAGACTCTCTCACTGACTCATTCATTAGTCATCTACTAAATACCTACTATGCATCAGGAAGGTTCTAGGCTTAGGTACAAAGATAAAAAATGGTCTCTGCCTAAAGGAACTTACCTATCCAGGGTTAGGATGGACCAATAATCAGGTAATTTTGCTACAGTGTGATCCAGGTGCTGTAAAAACTTACAGAGGATCACAGCTTTTCTTAGATTAATTTTATTTTATTCTCTTTGAAGGAGTTTGAGCAGGTGCTTTCTAGTCTGAGCAGCATATTTACAAACCATCATTTATACTGGGCTATTTATCCAGACAATAAGCAGTGTTACTTTTATTTTTTTTTCTTTTCGGCTTTTAATACATGCAGATGAAAAGTGTTTATCTTGGGGCACCTGGGTGGCTCAGTCGTTAAGCGTCTGCCTTCGGCTCAGGTCGTGATCCCGGGGTCCTGGGATCGAGCCCCACATCGGGCTCTCTGCTCGGCAGGAAGCCTGCTTCTCCCTCTCCCACTCCCCCTGCTTGTGTTCCCTCTCTCGCTGTCTCTCTCTCTCTCTGTCGAATAAATAAATAAAATCTTTAAAAAAAAAAAAAAGAAAAGTGTTTATCCTTTTTAACTTCAATATCAAAGGGTAACATTCTGACAGCATGTTTGCTATTAAAAGTCTGGTGCATCATCTTCTGGGCTTTTGTGCATATACATATCATTAACTTTTTTAAGACTATTTTTTAAGGGAAATTTTAGGTACACAGCAAAATTAAAGATTTCCCATATACTCCCTGACCCCAATTCATGCACAGCCTCCCCCAGTACCAACATCCCCCAGCAGAGTGGTACATATGTTACACTTGTTGAACCTACCGCGACACATCATTATCATTCAAAGTCCATTGTTTACATTCAGGTTCACTCTTGGGGTTGTACATTCTATAATTTGGACAAATGTATATTGACATGTATCCACCATTATAGTATCATGCAGAGTAGTTTCACTGTCCTAAAAATCCTCTCTGCTCACCTATTCATCTTTCTCTCCCCCTAGCTCCTGATGACCACTGATCTTTCTATTCTATAGTTTTGCCTTTTCCAGACTGTCATATAGTTGGAATCATACAGTGTGTAGCCCTTTCAGATTGGCTTCTTTCACTTAGTAATATACATTTAAGTTTCCTCCATGCTTTTTCAGGCTTGATAGCTCATTTCTTTTTAGCATGGCATAATATCCTATTGTAAGGATGTATTTATCCATTCACTTACTGAAGGACATCATGGTTGCTTCCAAGTCTTGGCAATTATGAATAAAGCTTCTGTAAACATCCATGTGTGGATGTTTTTGTGTGGATATAAGCTTTCAACTCCTTTGGGTAAACATCAAGGAGCATGATTGCTAGATGGAATGATAACAGTATGTTTAGTTTTGTCAGAAACCACCAAACTGTCTTCCAAGGTGATTGTAACATTTTGCATTCTCACTGGCAAAGAATGAGAGTTTCTGTTGCTCCACTCTTAGCTAGCATTCGGTTTTATCAGTGTTCCAGATTGAGGTTATTCTAATAAGTGTGTAGTAGTATCTCATGATTTCAATTTGCATTTCCCCAATGACATATTATGTGGAGCATCTTTTCATATGCTTGCTTGCCATCTGCATATCTTCTTTTGTCAGGCGTCTGTTAAGGTCTTTGGCCCAATTTTTAATCAGGTTGTTGTCCTATTGTTGAGTTTTAAGAGTTCTTTGTATATTTTGGATAACAATCCTTTATTAGATCTGTATTTTGCAAATATCTCTTTTTCAGAATAGAAAATTTTAATTTTAGTGAAGTCCAGCTTATCAATTCTTTCTTGCACGGACCAAGCCTTTGGTGTTATATCTGAAAAGTCATTGCCAAACCCTAGTTTATTTAGATTTTCTCTTGCATTATCTTCCAGGAGTTCTATAGTTTTGCATTTTACATTTAGGTGATACATTTTGAGTTAATTTTTGTGAAGAGTATAAGGTCTGTGTCTAGATTATTATTATTTTTTTTTTTGCATGTGGTTGTCTAGTTGTACTAGCACCATTTGTCGTAAAGACTATTTCTTCTCCATTGTGTTGCCTTTGCTCCTTCATCAAAAATGAGTTGACTGTATTAATGTGGCTCTATTTCTTGGCTCTCTATTCTGTTCCATTGATCTATTTGTCTAGTCTTTCACCCCTGCCACACTGTCTTGATTACTGTAGCTTTATAGTAAGTCTCAAATGGTAGTGTCACTCCTCTAACTTTGTTTTTCATTTTCAGTATTGTGTTGGTTGTTTTGGGTCTTTTGCTTCTCCATATAAACTTTAAAATTAGTGTGTTGATATTTACAAAATAACTTGCTGGGATTTTGACTGCAATTGCATTGAATCTATAGCTCAACTTGAGAAGAATTGACATCTTACCAATATTGAGTCTCTCCCAGTATCTCTCCATTTAGTTCTCTTTTATTTTTTTCAATAAAGTTTTGTAGTTTTCCTCATTTAGATCTTGTACATATTTTGTTATATTTATATGTATTTCCTTTTCCGTTAACTTTTTTTCAAATTGTGGTTCTTTTATCAGTACATGTAGGTTTGCCTCATTCTTTTAATGAATAGGTAGCACCTTATTATGTGATTATGCTATAAGTTATTTAGCCATTTTCACATTGATGGGCATTTTGTTTATCATGTTTTGCTGCCACAAGTAATACATCAGTGAACATCCCTGAATATATGTCTTTATGCATCCATGCTATTTTTTTCTGTAGATTAGACTTCTAGATACATAATTACTGGGTCATAGTGTACCCATATTTTATATTTTGGTAGGTGAGGCCAAATGACTCTCCCAAAAAGTTTGCATCAGTTTACATTCTCACCAACGACATAAGACAATGCGTTTTACTCCACATTGTTGCCAATTGTACATGTTATCTCTTCTTACATTTTTCTTTTTTTGCTGGTCAAAAGGTATTTCATTTTTTAGTTTCACAGTTTAATGACTTTTTATATTTTTGGTTGAGTGGCAGAGACTCTTCTGATCTTATTATTTGCTCATTTTTAATTGGGTTGTCTACTGATTTGTAGGAGCTCTGTGTAAATTGAGATATTAATACTGTATATGTTAAATATATGCTGCAAACATTTTCTTTTAACTGCTTTTGAGAATTGTTTCATTTTGCCTTTCAATCCGTTTCTCTTCCCATATCTTTGTCAAAATTAAATCTCCAAAATGGATATCAGAGAAGGGTCGGGCATGGTCAAGAGGCCAGAGGGGCACCTGGCTGGCTCAGTTGGTAGAGTATGCGACTCTTGATCTCAGGGTCGTGAGTTTGAACCCCATGTTGGGCATGGAGCCTACTTAAAAAGAATAAGTAAGTAAGTAAATAAATAAATAAATATTTTTTAAAAAGATTTTATTTATTTATTTGACAGAGACAGAGATAACAAGAGCAGGAACACAAGCAGCGGGAGTGGGAGAGGGAGAAGCAGGCTTCCCGCGGAGCAGGGAGCCCGATGTGGGACTCGATCCCAGGACTCTGGGATCATAACCTGAGCCGAAGGCAGAGATTAACGACTGAGCCACCCAGGCGCCCTAAATAAATATTTTTTAAAAACAGTCCAGGGGAATAGTATGGTTTTGGAAATGAAAAGACTCTATTTCTTTTTTGCACCTCAGATCCTGTGGCTTGATTATTATAGTCTGCAGTTGGTCCATGTACAGCAGCAATAACTGCCCCTTTGAAACTGTAACTCAGAACCATATCATTCCCATGCTTGCTTCGTTGAGAATAAGCTGTACTATCATTGATATTAGAGTATTATTGGAATCAGAGCATGGAAGGAAAGATCATTTTTGGGGAAGTCATCTCTGATTTTGGCAGGAGAAACCTTACATTTTCTTTTTAAAATTAAAATTTGTAAAAAAAAAAAATAAACAAAAATAAAATTAAAATTTGTGTGTTAGATGTGGTCAAAGGTGAGAAGGTCAAGCCAATATTTGAGGAACCACCCAATCCTACCAATGTGGAAGTAAGTCTGCAGCAGATGAAAGCCAATGATCCCAGCCTGCAAGAAGTCAACCTCAACAACATTAAGGTATTTCATTATGATTATTGTCAGTCACTTGATTTATCATGAGGTTAGAAAATTTAATGGCGATGACCGATTGCCTGCTTTCACACCTGTGTGCAATCCCTTGTAGTCACCAGTTTTGAGACAAGATATCCTATTCAAAAGAAGAAATTTTTAAAAAGTGGTTTCTGGAATTCTTTGGAAAGAATCATTGTATTTATGTTAAACATAGAATATGGTTATCTACTGCTGGGTAATAAATTAATCCAAAACTTAGAGGCTTAAAACAATAAACATTTGTTATTTCACACAGTTTTTGAGTATCAAGAATCAGGACCGAGCTAGGTAGTTGTGACTCAGGATCTCAAGTGAGGCTGTAGTAAAGCTGTTATCAAGGTCTGCAATCATCTGAAGGATTGATTGGGGCAGAAGGATCCACTTTCAAGATGGCACACTAATATGGCTGTTGGCAGGAGGCCTCAATTTCTCACCACATGGCTCTCTCCATAGGGCTGCCTCAGTGTCCTTGAGTCATGACGGTGTGCTTCCCCCAGTGCAAGTGGTCAAAGAGAAAAAGAAAGAGCAAGCAGGAAGCCACAGCGCCTTTTATGGCCTATTCTCTGAAGTCACAATTGTCACTTCTGCTTTATTCTGTTTGGTAATTAGTCATGTTACTCTCAAAGGGAGGGGAAGGAAGGGTATGTGTGAGATAGAGATAGAGAGAGAGAAAGAGAGGGAGAACATTGCCTGATACCTATTTTGTTACTTCTTTTTGGGCCAACATCTGCCATTTAATAATAACAACTGACTTGTATTGAGTACTCACTATGTGCCATACCCTTTGTTAAATACTTGAAATTCATTACAGTAGTCCCCTGTTATCTGTGATTTTGCTGTTCATGGTTTCAGTTAGCCTCAGTCAACCACAGTACAGAAGTAGGTGATCCTCCTGACATACTGTCAGAAGATCAATAGTAGCCTAACCTTATATTATAATGCTTATGTCATTCACCTCACCTCACCTCACCACATGGGCATTTTATCATCTCACATCATCACAAGAAGAAGAAGGGTGAATATAGCTATATTTTGAGAGAGAGAGCAAGATCACATTCATATAGTTTTATTATAATATATTTTTACAGTTATTCTATTTTATTATTGGTTACTGTTGTCAATCTCTTACTGTGCCTAACTTATAAATTAAACTTTATCATAGGTATGTATGTTTAGGAAAAAACAATATATATTGTGTTTAGTGCTATCTGTGGTTGCAGGCATCCATGGGGGTCTTGGAACATATCCCCCATGGATAAAGGAAGACTGCTGTAGCTCATTTAATCCTTAGTGGCACTTAAAGAGGTTAAGTTGCTCATGGCCACAGAGCTAGTCTGTAGTGCACCCAGGACTCATGTCAACCTCTAGTGCACCCCATATTGCCTCCCTCCCAGTGGTCAGGATTGTGCTGAGTGCCGTGGAAGAGAGAATAAGATTCATTTGGTCTTTATTCTGAAAAACTTATATTAGGAGAAAGACACTAAATAAATAACTACAACATGATGTGGTAAACCCCCAAATGTTATGGAATTGCAGGTAAGGAAATTTTCATCTGGCTTAGGAGAGTCAATAAACAAAGGAGGTGATATTTCAGCTAGGTCTTGAAAGATGAATAGGAATTAATCAGAGAAAAGGACAATAGAATCTCCAGGCAAAGGGAAAAGCATACCTAAGAGTGTGGAGGAGAGAAAGACCATGGTATGTTTAAAGAATGGCAAGTAGGTCAGTCTGGCTAGAATATAGAGAATGAAAGAGAAAAGGAGGGAAGTTTGGTATGTGCATAATTTCTTGGCTAAAGTAACAGGAAGGTGATGCCCGAATGTTAAATTGTGTTAGATTCCCTTATTAGACACTAAGTGGTGCTATTGGCCCAGGATGGCTTGGTTGCTGGACAATGGCTAATGAATCTTTTAGAAAGAATTTCATGCATTTAGCCATCTAAACCCATAAGGAATTTAAAGGCTGTGGGTCCTTGACTTGGGGTAGGGGGGGCTACAGAATGATTTATTAACTGTCTATGTCTTCCCCATTTGAGAACATTCCAATTCCAACCCTGAAGGAATTTGCAAAAGCTCTGGAAACCAACACTCACGTAAAGAAGTTCAGCCTGGCTGCAACCCGTAGCAATGACCCTGTGGCGATTGTGAGTAAAATTTTAGAAAATAAAATTTTTTTAGAAATACAACATGAGGGGCGCCTGGGTGGCTCAGTAGGTTAAGGTGCTGCCTTCGGCTCAAGTCATGATCCCAGGGTCCTGGGATTGAGCCCCACATTGGGCTCCCTGCTCAGCAGAGAGCCTGCTTCTCCCTTTCCCTCTGCCTGCCGCTCTGCCTACTTGTGCTCTCTTTCTGTCAAATAAATAAATAAATAATATCTTTAAAAAAAAAAAAAAGAAATATAACATGAGGGCACCTGGGTGGCTCAGTTGGTTAAGCGACTGCCTTCGGCTCAGGTCATGATCCTGAAGTCCCTGGATCGAGTCCCACATTGGGCTCCCTGCTCGGCAGGGAGTCTGCTTCTCCCTCTGACCCCCTCATGCTCTCTCTCTCTCTCTCAAATAAATAAAATCTTTAAAAAAAACAAAAAAACAAAAAAACAAAAAAAAAACCAGAAGCCAAATGTCAGGCACTTCGAATTGACTAAAATTTTGTGAGCACTACGCTTTTAGGAGAAAGAAATAAGATTGGATTAGTCATTTAGCTAAATAAACATTTAGATTTTGCTCTGTGCTTGGTCCAAGTTTTCTGAAACTTCTGTATCTACATTAACATTCTGTCACGTCAATGGATATTAAAAGATCCCCAACTCTATAGGAACTCAGCACATATAAAAGTATATTTCATTTTAATCTTTGAAATGGATTAGTATGTTTCAGAAATATTTAAACAACCAGATTTTAAAACCTTTTTTTGACACTGTTAACAAGAATGTGAAAAAAATAACCAACCGAAAGCCCTGTTCCTTCCATGCATTTCAGGTAATTCAGCTAAATAAGGAAGCCCCTGGACCCAAGTAAATACTACAACTATTACCACCGTCAGTGTTATTACTATTAATAGCTAACATTTCTTGGGCAATTAGTAAATGCCAGCAGTAATCTCTGTGCTTTACACATGTCAGCTCACTTAATCCTCACTGTAATACTATGAGGTATGTATTATTATTAACGCCTACTTTAACAAATGAGTGGTTTGAGGCTCAGAGAGGTTAAATATCTTTTCCAGGGTAACACAGCCAGAAGTGGCACCACCAGGTTTTTCTGGTTCTACAAGCAGGATGGTTTAGCCATCAAGCTATGCTATATCTGTACACAATGCCTCCCTGTCATACATTTGCTAAAATATGTCAATTTGGGGGAGCCTGAGCATCAGCCTGTTGTTCTACAGCATCTCATGCTCAGCCCTTGAATCAAGCTAGAAAAACAAGTTTTCTTGACTTGATGATATGATTAAAATTAACATGTCTGTTGGAAGACCTAAAATAGCATTAAAAACAGGTAACATGGGGGCTACCTGGGTGGCTCAGTCGGTTAAGCATCTGAATCTTTGGATTTCGGCTCAGGTCATGATCTCAGGGTCATGAGATCCAGCCTCGAGTCAGCCTGTGCCCTGGGCATGGAACCTACTTAAAATTCTCTCTCTTTCCCTCTGCTCCACCCCTAAAAAATAAAATAAAATAAATAAAATAAAATAAAATAAAATGAATAAATAAAATAAATAAAATAAATAAGAAAGTAATGGCTATACCTATCCCAGTGCTGGCACAGAGTAGATGTTCGAACAGCGCTTGTTAAATGAATGAATCCTCTCAGCAATCAAGAATATTTCCATGCTGACCACAGCATATATAAAATAAGTACTCATGGAAGAGGGATTAAGCTACAGAATTGATGTTTTCACCAGCAGTTATTACATATGTAAATGTGTAAGTTGAAAGCAGTTTTGAATTTGAAAGCTATCATTAAAATAGAAAAAGAGCAGAACCAGATCATTGGTAAAAGTGAAATTAACAATTTAAGGATTTTTATCAGTATACGATTTTTATGATCTCTTGTCATTTAGTAGATTTGTTTTCAATAAAGCAAAATAGTCACAGTACATTTTGTATGTAAGTAACTAAAGGGATGAATAAAGAAATGATTGTTGGGCGCCTAGGTGGCTCAGTCATCAAGTATCTGCCTTCAGCTCAGGTCATGATCCCGGGGTCCTGGGATCGAGCCCCGCATCGGGCTCCCTGCTCGGCGGGAAGCCTGCTTCTCCCTCTCCCACTCCCCCTGCTTGTGTTCCCTCTCTCTCTGTCAAATAAATAAATAAAATTATAAAAAAAAAACAGAAAGAAATGGTTGTCACTTCAATATAATACAGTACAGTAAAATTGCAGGGATGGAAATATGTCATAGGCCATTGTCGACACAGCACTAGCAAATAGTCTAATTCTTCTACCCAGTCAAATAGATAACTTGCTAAATGGACTAAATAAATTCTAAATCTAATAAACTCTTCAATACTGTTTTTAATGCAGCAACTATGTGTTGATTGCATACCATGTGACAAGCACACCACACAATTGTAAGGAACAGTTGCAGTCCTTAAGGGTGTGAAGAGACAAGCCTCTCTGGCCTGATTCCTAGATGGCTTCCTATGGTCCAGCCCTCACCTGGCAGCCCTCAGATGGTTCTCCTTTCAGCCATGCCAGAACCTTTCTGTAGGTTGAAAATTGGTTGATTACCCCAGAGGCAATAGAGATCTTCAAACGGTGATTATGACTGAACAACTCACTACAAAGAATTAAAGATGGGGGCGCCTCCCTGGCTGGCTGGCTCATTTGATACAGCATGCAGCTCTTGATCTCGGGGTTGTGAGTTTGAGCCCCACTTTGGGTGTAGAGATTACTTTAAAAAAGAGAGAAGAAGATAATTAAAGATCGGTATTAAAGCAAAGAGTTTCAAGAAATTTTTCTTTTTAAAATTCAGAAACAGAGGGGCGCCTGGGTGGCTCAGTTGGTTAAGCCTTCAGCTCAGATCATGATTCTGGGGTCCTGGGATCAAGTCCTGCATCAGGCTCCCTGCTCCAGGGAAGCCTGCTTCTCCCTCTCCTTCTGCCCCTCCCTTACTCATTCTCTCTCTCTCTCTCCCTCTCTCTCTCCCCTTCTCTTTGTGTCAAATAAATAAATAAAACTTTTTTAAAAACTGCAGAAAATAAAGTTCAGAAACGGATTCAGTGAGGCACTTGTGGGGTTATTGTCAACGTAGGCAAATTATGTGTATGTGAGATGGCATTATCCCCATTCTATAGATGAGTCAACTGAGGCTTATAGAGCTTGAGTAACTTCACTGAGATTACACAGCATGTAGACTAGCCAGGAAATGCATTTAAGTGACCTATAATCAAGTTCAGTTCACCATGCCCCAAGCACTTCTGTCTATCCACATCTCTAGCAGGGAGCAGAAAAAGTCCAAATACATTAAAAAACGCTTTTACAGGGCACCTGGGTGGCTCAGTCATTAAGTGTCTGCCTTCAGCTCAGGTCATGATCCCAGGGTCCTGGGATCGAGTCCCACATCGGGCTCCCTGCCTGGCAGGAAGCCTGCTTCTCCCACTCCCCCTGCTTGTGTTCCCTCTCTTGCTATGTCTCTGTCAAATAAATAAATAAAATCTTTAAAATAAATAAATAAATAAATAACGCTTTTACTATTAATAATAATGCCACATAAAAGTCAAGAGTTTAGGAGAACACTGTCTATAACAAATAAAATGAGAGCCCCTCTCCCACTTCCCCTGCTTGTGTTCCCTCTCTTGCTATGTTTCTGTCAAATAAATAAATAAAATCTTTAAAAAAAATAAAAAACACTTTTACAATTAATAATAATGCCACATAAAAGTCAAGAGTTTAGGGGCGCCTGGGTGGCTCAGTTGGTTAAGCGACTGCCTTCGGCTCAGGTCATGATCCTGGAGTCCCGGATCGAGTCCCACATCAGACTCCCTGCTCGGCAGGGAGTCTGCTTCTCCCTCTGACCCTCCTCCCTCTCATGCTCTCTGTCTCTCATTCTCTCTCTCTCAAATAAATAAATAAAATCTTTAAAAAAAAAAAAAAGAGTTTAGGAGAGCACTGTCTATAACAAATAAAATGTAAGCCACGTGTATGATTTAAAATTTTTCTGGTAGCCACATTAAAAAAAAAAATAGATGGAATTCATTTTAATAATATATTTTATTTAAACCAATATATCCCAAATATTATCATTTCAAAATATAATTTGAAAATGTAATAAGGTATTTTAACTACTTTTTTCATACCACATCTTTGAAATCCAGTGCAAGCTTTCCATTTACAGCACATCTTAATTCAGACCATCCATTTTCCAAGGGCTTAAGAGCTTCATGTGTCTTGAGGCTATCCTTTGGATGGTGCAGGTTTGGACAGTGCAGGACACTGGATTTCCATATAATCCTGTGAAGTACAGAAAGCAAAACCTTCTCTTTAAAAATGTGTTTCTACTGTAACTATTTATATAACATTTAAGAAATCGAGTCTTTGTTTTACTGATGTTATCCCCAGCACATGTAATAGATGCTTAAATATTTGCTGAACTGAAATTAATTTGGGCCTGCAGCCCAGGGTTATGTTTGGCTGGGTCTCCCCTGTTTTATTCGGTTTGAGAAAAGTGTTTTCTCAAGTTTAAAAGAAAGTGGCAAGATCCTGGCTACTTGCCAGGAAGTCCTGCAACCTTTTTTTTTATAAAGGCCTAATTGCTCCAACATTTTGTTATTCTAATAATGAACATAAATCCTGAAGCCTGGAGTGTCCATAAGGAAAAGCCTGATGCATTTCCTTCTGATGCTCTAATTAAAATGTGTACATTTACTTCTAATTAAGGACCTAGCAGTGAATAAATGCACTTTAATTTACATGGTGTACAATAATGTCAGTCCAAATCTTCGAGCTTTCTTTGCACTTAAAGCAACTGCTTGACTAATACACAGTATTATTCTTCTAGTCTGGTGCTTCTCAACTCAGAGTAATTTTGCCCTGCAGGGGACATTTGGCAGTGTCTGAAGCTATTTTTTGGTTGTCATGACTGGGAAGGGTGCTTTTGGCATTTAATGGGTCTCAGAAGCTGCTAAACATCCTGCAGGACACAGGACAATGTCCCACAACAAAGAATCCTCTGGCCTCAAACGTCATTGGTGCCAAGGTTGAGAAATCCAATTCTGGTCCCGAGTTAGATTCCTTCGCTTCCTTCTTCCTGTGTTTTCCACCATAAAAATAATTAAAATAATTAAGAAGTTCCTTGTTCCATTCCCCAGAGCAGTCAGTATTAGCAATTTGTTTTTCATTCTTTTAGTTGTTGTCTTTATGACTTTAATCAACGTGGTTGTCAATCCTAAAATAAAATCTTTTTTAAAAAGGAGGGCACCTGGGTGGCTCAGTTGGTTAAGCATTTGCTTTCGGCTCAGGTCATGATCTCAGGGTCCTGGGATGGAGTCCCACATCACGCTCTCTGCTCTGCAGGGAGTCGGCTTCTCCCCCTCTCTCTGTCCCTCCCCCCTGCGCACTCTCTCTCTTTCTGGCAAATAAATAAATCTTAAAAAAAAAAAAAAAGTGGTTGTCAATCCTGGTGAACATTAATCACCCAGAGAGCTTTTTATTTTATTTATTTATTTTTTTTAATTTTTTTTTTTTTAAAGATTTTATTTATTTGAGAGAGAATGAGAGAGAGCATGAGAGGGGGGAGGGTCAGAGGGAGGAGCAGACTCCCTGCTGAGCAGGGAGCCCGATGCGGGACTTGATCCCGGGACTCCAGGATCATGACCTGAGCCAAAGGCAATTGCTTAACCAACTGAGCCACCCAGGCGCTGCCCAGAGAGCTTTTTAAAAATACAGAAGTCCAGGGACACCTGGGTAGCTCAGTCGGTTGGGTGTCCTGACTCTTGGTTTTGGCTCAGGTTATGGTCTCGGGGTGGTGGAATTGAGCCCTCTGTCAGGCCCTGTGCTCAGCATGGATTCTGTTTTTCCCTGTCCCCCCAGCCCTGGCTTCTACTCTCTCTCTTTCTCTCTAAAATAAGTAAATAAATAAATAAATAAAATCTTAAAAAAATATATAGCAATCCAGGCTATAGCCTGAGATTCTGATTTAATTCATTTGGGGTGGGGCCCAATACTTTATATATCTTAACATTCATTCTAACATGCAGGCAGAGTAGAAAACCCCTGATATACATACTTTTTTGTTTTTGATTTATCATGTTAAATAATTTTTGTTTCTCCATTAGAAAAGCTGAGAGTAGTTCTATAATCTGCCTTCATCCCTCCTCCTTTTTCTACCTCCAAATTATAATTATTCCATTATTTTCACGCATTTCAGTTTTATATGTTTTATGCCCTTATAGTCTATGTTTTATATATAGGTTGATTGTAAAAATTTAAAACTTTTCACCAGTATTTACAACTACCTGGCTATATAAATATATAAATCTGTTTTCATGGGCCTTGCTGTCTACTGACTAATGCTGGTCTGAGTCTTGTTCCTTTGTAAGTAACTTATTTTTTCTTACTAGAAACTTTTAGGACTCTCTCTTTTCCCTTGGAGTTCTGAAATTTCACTTGTATGTGTCCACTTGTGAGTCTTCTTTACTCATTTTGCTGAGCATTCTATGGGTTCTTTCAGATGAAGACTCATAACTCTCTTCAACTCTAGGAAATTTTTTTCTTATTATTTTATAATTTCTTCCCTTGTGTTGTCTTTTTTCTTTTGTCCTTCTGAAACTCCTACTAGATGAATGTTGAACTTCTGTATCTTTCCCCATATCTTTTAACATTTGTCTCATATTTTCTAGCTTTGTCTTTTTACTCTACCTTCTTGGGAATAGCCCTCGATTTATGTTCTCACTCACCAACGTGCTCTTCAGCCATGCTCATTCATTTTGTAATTCTGGATGTCCATTACCTTTCTTTATTTCAATGTAGTATTTAAACTTTTCAGAACATTTTCTTGTTCAAATTCCTCTTTTTTTCTCCCCACAATAGCCAGTATTTATTTTATGGATACAATGTGTTTTCTTTCTTTTTCTTTTTTTGGTGGGTGAGAAGAGGGAGAATAACAATTAGAATTTTTACATTTGTTTCTGTTCCCTCTATGGCATGTTGTCCTGTTTGGTCAACTTGGCTTTTCTCTTCCATGAGGTTGGTTTTCCTACTTTGTCCGGTAGTCACTGGTTGCCAGACTTGCGAATAGAGAACGAGGTGGTTTTGTGTAAACCAGGATCGTTTCCTCTGCAGTTGTGTCAGTGTGTTTCACCAACAGACCTCTCCCTCAAAAGGGAGGCCCTTTCTGTTTCCCATTTGTCACCATCCAACAGGCTATGTAATTTATTTATTTATCAACTGCCCTCTTAGGACAGAGATTTTTCTTTTCTCTGCTGCTGGCATACTGCACACTGTAGAAGCCCGATAGTCTTTTCTGATTGATTGATTGAATGAATGAATGCATGAATGCATGCATGCTTTTGTAAGCAGGCAGGTGGACTGACTGCAGCCCTCTCTGAAGGGTGTGCATGGGGAGCTGTCAGGTAGCTGGGAGTCCCCCACAAGTCTATGGCTAGGAAGGCTTCACTCTGGGAGGGGTTCCTTCCTGGACATAGCTGCCTCTCCTCTCCGTTTCTCCCACACTGTGTCTGGTGAGGGGTCTGAAGGTGCCTCTGTTTCTGCATGGCTTCTGTCTCAGCTCCTGGCCTCACTGGAGCTTCTTCCTAGGAAAGTTTTCATTGACAGGGGGCTGGCAGTTGCTTCTTTCCTGGGAAACTGCAGGGAGGGGCGACGTGCTCTCCGTCTGCTCCACCTGTTCCAGTCTGTTCTGAAGGCAGTTCTTTCAGGAGATGCCCCTTACCTTACCTCTGGTGTCTCAGGCAACAGCTTTTTTTGTGGTCATTTCTCCACCAGGCTGTCTTTTTTCTGTATTTTGGCAATTCTTCAAGGTAATGGCCCTCTGTTTTGTTTTGTTTTTCTTGCACTGTGAGAGTTCCAGTCATTTAAAAATGGTATCTTTTCTTCATGCCAGGGGCCAACTTTGGGTGCAAGGGGAACAGGCAGGTGCATGTGTGTATCTCTTGTTTTGATCTGGGGGTCTCCAGTGGGTTTGCTACTCTGAATGGTGATTATATTCCAAAAGTTATCTTTGAAGAATTCTAATTTATAGATGACCTGAAATAATATGACTACATCAGTAGTGCCTACATGCTAGTCGACAGTAAAGTGTTTTTATCCGTTCATAGGAAAAGGGACAAAATAAAATAATTCTGAGATCGGGCGCCTGGGTGGCTCAGTTGGTTAAGCGACTGCCTTCGGCTCAGGTCATGATCCTGGAGTCCCTGGATCGAGTCCCGCATCGGGCTTCCTGCTCGGCAGGGAGTCTGCTTCGTCCTCTGACCCTATCTCCTCTCAGGTGTTCTCTCTCTTTCTCTCTCTCTCAAATAAATAAATAAAATCTTTAAAAAAATAATAATAATTCTGAGATCATGTCCTTTCTACATTTCTCCTAATGTTAAAATGTCTTTTTCTCAAAAACACAAAAAAACAAAAACCACACGCACAAAAAACAAACTGCTAATGATAACATATGGTGGTGGGATTTTACTCAACGTTCTTACTTAACAACGTTGGTAATCCTGGGTCAGGATTTTTTGTTTTAGTTTTTCTTTTACAGGTATGCAAAATTCGTAAGTCTGGGCTGCTGGACTGAATTATTCTTAGTTTGATTTGACTAAGTTTTTCTTTTAGTATATAAAAAACATCTGTGTTTAATTTGGGGCTGGGAGTTCAGTAAATAAATCTTTACAAGCATTAATGGTTACTTCTTTTTTGCATAATAAGGCTTTTGCAGATATGCTGAAAGTAAATAAGACCTTGAAAAGCCTCAACATCGAATCCAATTTTATCACTGGGTCCGGGATCCTGGCCCTGGTGGAGGCACTGAGAGAGAATGACACCCTGACGGAGATCAAGATCGACAACCAGGTGTGACTCATAGGGTGCATGTGAAGAGGGGGCCACAAGGCAGTGAGTTTAAAGCCAAGTTCTATGACTCGATTCGATGTTCCGGCTTTCCTGTAAGTTACAACAGCTGCTGGCCTGTGGAGGGTATATGGGAGTGCATGTCGGTAACCAGACGCGATGCACAGTGAGGCAGCCCGAGACGGAAAGGGCCAGCTCCCCACCAGCCCTCAGCTAGTCAGGTACCGGGGCAGAGAGGAGGGGGGCCGAAGGTGTTGAGGGCTACTTTGTGCAGCCATCGTCATCCTTGCCTCCTAGCAGGAACCGCAGCCAGTCCTGTCCCAGCCTTGCTGTTGCCTCTCACTGGAACTAGGGCTTTGAGGAGAAAGTGGGCTGGCCATGCCCAGAGACAGACTCCTTGCTCTTGGTTGGAGGTTGCCAGAGCTGAAAAAAAATTGAGCAAAACTAGACTCCTGCAGTCTGCGCCTGGCCACAGAGCCTGTTTAGAGGAATCCAGGTTCTAGAAGATGGTCTGGCTTAGAGAAGCAGGCCACACCCATAGTGCGATCACAGTCTCAGCTCTGTTGCGGTGTTTCTTAGCTTCCCATCAACAGCCAAAGCAAGCGGCTTGTCTCTAGGGCCACATCTTCCTGTACCCTAAAGGCCTTTTCCCAGCATCCACCTGCCATGTTTCCAGTGGCTCTGCTGGCTTCAGCTGGCTCCTGCTGTTGGACAGCAAGCCTCAGTTCTCAGCATAGTGCTGTGCCCTGCCCCTTTCAGTACAGGGAACTGTCTGCCATGGGACTCAGTGAGTCTGAGAGGCCTAGACACTGTCTAGTGAGAAGAAAGGGCCCTGCAAGGGCCCAGAAAGAGGAGACAACACAGAGCCTTGTGCTGTGAGCATTCTCCTATTAGGGGTGGGGGTGGCAGGGACAGTGGGGAGAGTGCCCGCTGAGAGTGCCCCCTGCATGTCTGGAAATTCCCTAGTCTAAACCCTCCAAGAGCTGATAGAGCCCCGGGATTCTACCCAGGACTTTTGCTTAAGTATGGAAACCCCCAACAGGTCCCATGAACAACTCTACTATCCTTTTTTGCTACTTAGGACACGTGAGCTCCTTCAGGGCAGGTCCTCTGCCCCTCGACTCCTCCAGAGGCTTGCTGCCAGGGGAGCAGGGGAAGCTACAGAAGACAGGTGCTCCTTTATTCTCACCCTCCCCAGAAAGGATGCATCACCAAAGCAGCTTTCCCAAATGAAGATATGTGAAGGGGATATACACACCCAGCCGTACACTCTCAGGAAGCTGGATGCCGTGTATCCTGGTGTGTGTCCAGCTGCTAGTAAATTTAAAAAGAGGCATCAGGGAGTGGGAGAGTAGGAAAATGAGCTAGAGAGAAATATGAACTGAAAGAAAAGATGTGATAGCTCAGGAATATTTATCAGTTGAACTAGTATTAGGCAGTAGTTAAGTGAGCTCTTAGCATATTATTTCCAGGACATCTACGACAGAAGTGGATACCTTATTCCAAAGTGTATTTAACTTATGTTGGTTTAGGTCATTATGAAACCCCGTATCTGAAGTAATGTTCCAGAAACTATGTTCCTGGTTCCTTGTAAGATACCACCTAGTTAGGATTGCCAGATAAAATACAGTTAAATTTGAATTTCAGATAAACAACAAATAACTTTTAGTATAAGTATGTACCATGAAATATTTGGGACATACTATACTAAAATATATTTTTTTCTTTTTATTTATTGATATTATTTATTTTTATTAATCAAAATTCAAATTTAACTAGGTGTCCTGTATTTTTATTTGCTAAATCTGGCAACCCTACATCTAATGAGTGAGATGGAAACCTGAACATTGAGACGAGAGCAGCTTTTCCTAATGCATGTGAAGAAGACCCTGAAATACAAATCCTGAATTTGCTCTCTTAAATCCCCTTACATCAACCTTATCACCCCTTTTCAGTCATCTAGAATGGAATGGTGTAGTTTTCCCACTTTATTCCCCAATATGCCTCTGAAATAGCTTCTTTACATTTCTGACAAGAGGATTGAGACTTTCTAGAGCAACCGGAAAAATTCCTTGCTTTATTCCAAGAAAGAGGAAATTCAGAGTCAGAACTTGATTTCCATCCAAATTCTGCTTATCGACTCATAGCCTATTAGAAGTAGACCTCAGTTTCCTCGTCTGTGTAATGAAGGGTTTGAAATAAAATAATCTGCAAGACCGTTTCCTCAGGCAGGGCCAGCAGCTGAGACCAATTTAGCACCCTTGGGGCAGGCAGCCACGCCAAAGTGAAGGCCTGCTGAGAGCCTGTCACTGGGGCAGGCTGCTGTGGCTAGGCTCTGGGTAAATAGGTAATGATTTAATCAGATGCCCCGTGTGAGAAGGACAATCGGTGATGCATATTAATGAAACAGATGGGTAACTGCTAAAGAAATTTGAGTAAACAAAAAAGGTCATTAAAAAAACAGAAGAAATGTATGCTTAAACTTTGATTTTTCTTTTTCATTTGTATTTAGTGACTTATAAAAGGGAAACAGACAAATTATAAGAAATTTTGGCCTACATTTGTTGCCCTGGGTTTATATGACACAGAAGACCTCAAATAAAAAGACTCAGGCTGAGAAAGAAGGTGCCCTGTGTTACATTACTTTCTCCCTTTCTTTTCTATGCTCCTTCCCAATATAATTTTCTGCAGCTCCTACATCCCTTATATAGCCATCAGCATGCCCATCCTGCATATTACCCAAGCGCAGGACTCCAAAGACGTGAAATTTGTGAGAGGAAGTAAAGGGACTTTTATGTCATCCCTCCCCATCAGCCACAACCCCATGAGCTCCTTCTGCCCTTGGATAGCACCAGGGGCATAAGGCATAGCTATGGCAGCCCCAGCCTTAGCTCAAGTCTCAATCTTTAGTACAGCGCACTGTTCTAAAGCATGTCGTGAGCTAAAGTTGTTCATGAAACTGTGAGGTCAGGATCTCTTTTCTCTGCCTCTCCCTCCCATTAGCTTAGAACACTAATTTCTACACTGGATACCCAAAGTTGTTATTGTCTAACTGGAAATACCACATTTTGTTAATTTCTTGGGGAGAGACTGGTTTGACAGGTTGCTGAGTGAAAAGAAAGAAAAGGAGCAAAGAATTAGACCTTAGGCCTTGCCTAGAACATAAAAGTTTCTCTCTAAATTTTCTCCTCCACCTGCTCAATACTTACATTTTCCAAATTTAAAAGGTGTATTTTTAAAATATAATAAAGCAATCAGAATTGCATGATGCTGGCATAGAAATAGACTTGGCAGAACAGTGGATTCCTGAAACAGATCCAAGTACACCTGAGAATTTTGTAGCAAAGTACCTCCGTGAGGAAAGGATAAAGTAAAAGATAGTGGGACAATTTCACTAGCATTTTGGAACAAGATTAAGTTGGGGCTCTATCTTGATTCTTATACTAAAATTCACTCCAGATGAAATGAAGATTTAAATATGAAAATATATGAAATCATAAAATGGAAGAAATCAGAAGGATTTCTGATAGAAGAAATCAGAAGAGCCTTCCTAAACATGATATAAAATCTAGATTGATATAAATTTAGCCACATGAAAATGAAAAGAGAATCAAAAAAAAAAGTCAAAAGACAAACTGAACAAAGTATTTTCAACACATTTGACAAAAGGCTAATTTCCTAATATATAAGAAACTTACAAATTAAAAAAAAAAAGGAACCATGGGCTGTTTAAAAAATATATACAAATGACAGAGATTGGTAGTTTCCAAAAAGAGAAATACAGACGCATAAGAAAATTAATTGTTCTTACTCATAATTTGAGAAATGCAAATTAAAGCAATTAAATAAATAGAAGTGAAATATAAATCTTTACCAATTAGAATGACAAACGGGGAAAAGATTGATAATATCCTATGTTGGCCAGGGTAGGGAAAATAGTAAATCTCAAACACTGTTAGTAGGAGTAAAAAACTGTCATACTTTTGAGGGTAAGTGAGTAATGTATCAAAATTTGAAACATGCTTACTCTTGGGCCCAGCCCTAATTTGCCCTACAGGCACACTTGCAGAAATGTCCTAGGATATACTGTGTGTGCGAGGGAAATTCACTGCAGCAGCGTTGTTTGGAATAGTAGAAATGGAAAAGGTGTTCTCAATGTTAAATGAGAAATAAAAATGTTTCAGAACAATATGCCGGTATAATCCATTTATGTGAAAAAGCATACATGTACATATGATTAGGTATACATATGAATGCATAGAAAATGTTTTAAAAGACTACATATCATATGCCAAACTGGCTTTCTCTATGGGGAATGGAAATACTGGGGGAAGGGAGCTTTTGTATTTTATACACTTTTTATGTGCTTTTTCTAAATAAGCCTATACTTTTTTTAAAGATTTTTTTTTTTAAATTTATTTGACAAAGAGAGAGACAGCAAGAGAGGGAACACAAGCAGGGGGAGTAGGAGAGGGAGAAGCAGGCTTCCCACTGAGCAGAGAGCCCAATGTGGGGCTTGATCCCAGGACCCTGGGATCATGACCTGAGCCAAAGGCAGACGCTTAACGACTGAGCCACCCAGGGGCCCCAAGCCTATACTTTTTAAGTTAAAAATTTTTAATAAATATATTATGGAAAAATTGAATTTTAATTTTTGTTAACTGTTAAATTTTGATTAATTTTAAATTCCTATATTTACATGCCCCTGTTTTTTTTTTATTCTGCTTTTAGTTTTTTTATTCTATGTCTCAGCTTAAAAAACAAACAAAAAAACCAAGAAACCTCTTTTCACCCACTTAAAAAACTTGGGGATTTTTCTACAGCCCAATAACACCCTTCAGGGTTTGATAATTGTCCTGGCCATGGTTCAAACCACAATGAAGTTTCTTTGGGATCTCCTACTGAGAATCTGCTGAGAAAGAATGGCCAGCTGGTTGATGACCTTTAATTATTTTGGAAATGGATCCCAGAATAGAAAATTCAGTAATTGGATTGATTGCTATAAGACAGTTTCACTACTTAAAAACACCCTTTGTTTAAACCATAGAAACTGGGGTAAATTGGAAACACCGAATATTAGTTTTGCTTTAATTTTACATGTGGAATCATCTTTTCCTTCATAAATAATTGGCTTAGTCTTTTCGGTTTAGCATGCCAACAGACTTGGCTGTCTGTTGGATTTTGCTTCTAGACAAGGAGCAGGTCTCAAGTGACTATATGGGAGAAAATATCTCAAGTGACTTTATTCCTTTCAATGTGAGACTTTTACCCCTTTATGTTTTTGTCCAGCAAGTAGCTATGCATCTCTCCCATGCAAGTAACTGTTTCCTCTTTCTTCTTGGTCGTCCTGTTATGTGTCCGCACCTGTAACCAGAGACAGCAGCTGGGAACTGCTGTGGAGATGGAAATTGCCCAGATGCTCGAGGAGAATTCAAGGATCCTCAAGTTTGGATATCAGTTTACCAAGCAAGGGCCTCGAACAAGGGTGGCAGCCGCCATCACAAAGAATAATGACCTAGGTAACGCAGCCCTAATGTGTGCTGTTAGCAATTAGAAGAGTACGGTGACTATTTCTCCACCTCAGATGCAATATCTCACAGACATCATTCCACTGGCCTTTGGTGTCAGCACTTGATCAAATGCACATTATTACGTTATCCTGGGAATTCTCATCAGCTTTGCGGTGTTTCAATTTTACTGTAGCATTCTCTCAAGAAGAACTATTTGTTCTTCTTTTCCAGACAGGCTTTGATTTTTGCTTGGTTTCCTTTATGCATTTGGTTCTCCTTTACTTCTTACATGTAGCCACCCTGTGTTGTTATCTGCACCAGAAGATGGATACAGTGACATGGAAATTCCCAGTTCACTTATGTTTGACCCCTGGCTGTGCTTTTGCACTTGGGTATAAATGCAGTTATGTCTGATACTTTGGTGATTTCCACGTGAAGTAAACTAAGGGAGCTATGTTATAAAGATTAAACTTAGAAGTAGCTTTTTCAGTTAGCCCCTCTTTAGTTTTTCCTGCTGCCTACTCTTTGCTGAGGATCCGTAATATTTCTTCTGTTAGGATGAGAGGGGGCATATCCTGGTCAACCACAGCACAGAAGAATGGGACAGATATGGAAGGCTTGGTCTGGGCACAGCTCAGTCACCTGAAGCAGCATGGCAACAGGACATCCAAGAGTTGACAGTCACTTGGCAAGCAGCCAGCCAATAGCAGCACTCGGTCCCCAGTTTGAGGTTTGGGGACAGAAGGCCAGACCTTGGCTGGGAGAACTGGGCACAGTGTTCTGCCAAGTAGAGTGCTGGCCATGGGGAGGATTCAGATCATAGACAAGACAGAAACCAAGAGTTGGAACCGGAAGGGGCAGGCAAAGATTAGTGTCCCTCTCCCTGCCCAGGCGTGCTCAGCCAAGCTGCTGAGGCCCGGGCCACGTAGGTTGTGTGACCTCCGGAGGCTGGCCAGGCATATGGCAGTGCTTGCCATTGGGATGTAGAGGATGAGGCTAAGGGGGCAGCCCTGCACACAGGGCTTTGGGGAAGGGTGGAGGCAGCAGTCAGCACCGAGAACTGCAGGGAGTCCACAGCTGAACAACATGGAGACCAAAGAGAAACAGGCAAAAGAAAAGGCTTGAAGTAAATGGAAAAACGATCATGAGCCCAGAAGTGGCAGCTGTGGGCAATAGCTTTTGTCTCATTTTCTGCAGGCTGGGCTATTTAAAGTGGAGAGTTAGGGCAGGACCACAGTCTGGGCACCTTTTTGCCAAATCCAGGAAGGTTAGAGTAACCCTCTTCCTACCCACCAGACAGGCCTGCAGGTGGAGAGGTGAAAGGGGGAAATGGGTTGCAGAAACTGGGAATGGGCCATCAGAGCAACTTTTTGATACTAAGTACCCACTTAAGGGAACCTTAATCTCTGAGTTTGCCTGCCATCTGAATCATGCCTTCTTTGGAAGCTTGATACTTGCCGGGGGCGGGGAGGTGGTTTGTATAAAACAGGTTTCAAAACTTTGAACATTTGTTTGCGGCTCCTCCTGGTGTTCAGGCCGTAAGCTGAATTCATAGATTGTACATGTGTCGTCCTGGGGAGTTAAAGCCAGGTGGGGATCAGGTTGCACAGAGGCTGTGGGTATGTGACCATGGAAATACTCAGGACTTCACTGTTTCACGGGTCTATTCTGGACCTGCCACTCCATAGAAATTTCTAACATTCAAATTCTCAAATATCAGACGTGACTTTATTTAAAATGTAAATTCCGCAAAACACTAGGTTATGATATCATTTCCATTTATAGCATGTACTGGGTAATTGAGTATTGAAATTTAAGATAACTATATCCTTAAACGTGTGGGATTGCTGTTCAGTGTGATTAATGTTGTTGCTCTGGAATTTAAGCACCATTCCTTCAATTTACCTTTTTTCTTTCCTGTCTTTATTTCTCACCTAGTTCGTAAAAAGCGAGTTGAAGGAGACCGAAGGTAAACTTTCGCAAGACGAGGCTGAGTTGCACCCTGGTGGCCATTTAGAAATAAGCAAGCAAAAACCCTTCTCCTTCCCCATCAGGACCATTTTATTCAAGGTTGTGCATTTCCGTTAACCACCTGGCTAATAATTTAATCGTTGTTCTTTTTTAGCACTACTTATTTATCTTGGATTTTTTAAGATATACAATTGTCTCATTTGCTCACGGGCACCTCTGGCAACTCGCACCAGTGGACCTCAGCAGAGCTTTAGTAGGTAACAGCGATCGAAAATTACTTAACCACTTTCAGATTGGGTTGCCTGGCTTTCTTACATGAACTTTTCTTTTTTTTTTAAATCACTGAAAGGAATTTAGTATATACATGTATTTGTAACTGTGATCACGATAGAGGCCTATCTCTGTTTACATGCATAGCTTTGAGTTAGGCTAAATACATCAGAAGTACTCTTCTGACCACATAAGAAGTTAGTATTGCCAATCTTTCACTGGGTGAGAAAATGTGACCAACTTGGCGCAAGTTCTCCCCCAGTTCCAGAAGAATCACTAAATGCACGTGTCCCACTGTTGGAAGATCAGTGGTATCGTCTTCCTGAAAGCAAGGCAGCATCATGATACTTTAACACAGCATCAGCAAATAAGTCTGAAATAGTAACCCATGAATAGTCTTCAAGATAGACTTACAGGCAGCAAAATTAATTAGCACACTTACCTTTATTGATTATTCAACATAAATCGATCTTTAACATGACTCTAATAGATAAAACTTTTTACAAAGCTGTTTTAAACTTTTCCAGACATGATGGGAAATTTTTAAATTTTAGAAACAGGGCGGCTTTTAAGACAGTACATTCCTCAATAAAACAATAATAATTACACCTTAGTCAGAGTTGTCTGATACATATGATTGCATCATTTGGGCAAATTTTATTTTTATTTATTTATTTTTTAAAGATTTTATTTATTTATTTGACAGAGAGAGAGAGAGAGACAGCAAGAGAGGGAACACAAGCAGGGGGAGCGGGAGAGGGAGAAGCAGGCTTCCCGCAGAGCAGGGAGCCCAATGCGGGGCTCGATCCCAGGACCCCGGGATCATGAACTGAGCCGACGGCCGTCGCTTAACAACTGAGTCACCCAGGCACCCCTTTCTGGCAAATTTTAGAGGCATTTATTGCTTTATCTTTAGTGTGACAAGATCACAGAATGAAATGTGAATGTTCAAGTTATTTATACAAACATTTGTCCATATGGCATGATCTATCCAGAGCTTTGCAGACATCAGGAAAGAAGTGTGAATTATCGCTTCTCCAGATGTGTGTCATCTCAAGGACAAAGCCTGTGAATGTACAACTGAGATGATTGCGTGGTTGTGTGCAATAACTTTTCATCTAGCAGAGCAACAGTGTGATGCTAAGCTAAGGAAACATAGGACTACAGTCTTTGGCTCAAGCTCACATGCCTTTGATGACAGTCAGTGCCTGAGGCTGTCATTGGCACCCTGACCCTGCCTCAGGCACCTCTCCCTCTCTCCCTTTCTTCTCTCTTCTCCCCTCCTTCCCTTCCAACTCTTTCTCTTTTTTCTTCTTTTGTCTGAAATTCTGAGCCTTGGAAAGGCGACATCCCTTGTGCTGGTGACACCTGGAGCTAAAGAGATTGCTGACTCAGCAGAAGATGGGCCCAAGTCCGAATTTGTTTAGTTACTGAGTGTTCCTGAGTTGCTCGATAGTAGTAAAACAAGCTAATGGGAAAACAATGAATGCATTATTCTAGTTAGCTTGTAAAACACATAGAATCTGGTTAGGAGAGATAACCTTCATAAAATTGGACATTTACCTGTATTATAAGAACTCACATCCGTATCACTAAAATCCTTTGAAACTTCTCATTTTCTTGACAATATTTTACATTATTTGAGGGAATAATGAGCAGAATATGTTGATATATTTGGAATTCTAAAAATCCTTTAATTAGCTTTTGACTATATCTCTCTCTATAAAAACATAGTAAATATCATTTGATGGTTTTCAGTTTGATTTTTCCTTCCCTCTTACTCATTTAGGTGTGGTATGTTGGACCCAACTCATACAGGCTTACCAATTATTAAATTTTCAAGAATTTTGCAAATTCGTTGTTAAACACAGCCATTATTAAAAATTAAATGACATGCACTTACAATTAGATTATTTTAAAAAACAAAAATAATACTCAAAACTACCTTTTAATTTTCTTTGCTCTTGAGATTATTCAGACCTATTTTGTCTGTATGACAGAAATACTGTATAATGATGTGCTGTTGTGCATCTCTTCCCAACTCAGAAGTTTAGGACTTCTTGTTGGTAGTTTGAACTTTCTTCTTGTTGGTAGTTTGAACTTGGCCGCGGTGAGAGTACTTATACTATGGAAATTAGCAAATGTTACAAATCAGGACATGTTCCCCCCTACTTTGCTGGTTGATAAACATTCATCAGCACACCCTATACACAGTTCTTTTTTTTTGTATACATGTTTTGGTTACCATGTTGCCAAAAGGAAGAACCTTTCTCTTAAGTGTCTTTCTCCTATTCCTTTAGATTTGTTGCAGATATATTGTAAGTGCTGAGTCCCTGACTTGCCCTCCAAGTAAGACTTTTTCCTTTCTTTCCTCATTCACTCTCTTTCTTGCCTTCACCTCTACGAAATCTTGTATCCTGCAGAGTGTTCCCTGTAGCCCCAAGGACTGGGGGCTAAAGCAGTTCCTGATAAACTCTGGCAGAAAGCAAGAAAGAAAAGAATTTGATGGTGACTGTGCTGTGGTTGTTGATAGTATTAAAGCAAAATAGTGGGCTATTAACAAAATTTAGCCCGTTTCTAGCTTGTGAAATAGTTGGGTCACATGTAATAGAGTTTA